GAGCATATGTTCGCCCCCATGTCGAATACGCGATTCAAGCCTGGCATCCATGGCTGAAATACGACCTTAATACACAGGAACAGTCACAACGTCAGGCAGCTTAGAACCTAAATGCAATGCGCAATCTTTCCTACGAGCAGAGACTGAAACGATTGGGATATTCAGCGGAAGCTATCGCAGACTACCAAGTGACTGGATTATGGCATACTCGATTCCACGAGACCCACATCATGTGTGCCGCTCATTACCGCGAGTCAGCACCAAAGTAGCCCTGAGAGACCGCGCATTAAAACGCTCTGTTCAACATAGTCGTCTGCAGTGCCGCAGAAATCTCTTTTCCATTCATGTCTGTCACGCTTGGAATGCTCTCCTAGAATCAGTCGCCTCTGCACCGACACCAACAATATCTGAAAGACGGTTGGACGATGCATTCATCCACTTACACTTTGTCACTTAGCGCTATGTCTCCATCCTACACCTGGAGTTTAGCGTGAATTAATTTGATGTTAACTGTGGGTGCAGTGTATCTAAAGGGATTGCAAGACTACGGCGGAGCAAACGATAACTCCTTATTTTCCTATTTAAAGTACTAACTGTTTTAATACTATTATTATTGTTATCATTATCATTATTATAATTCGGGATCCCTACCAACTATCCAACGGAACTTGTAAAACAACGCTTCTTAATCAGTATAAAGTTATTGTTCATTGTTGTGCATTGATTGCAATGTGATCTATTTGTGACCATACTTGCGTTGATGAAGGAGGAGGCCAGGTGGCTGGGCGTCTTCTGGTATGCCTTAAGTTCGTACTTGAGCGAAAGAGACGGTGGTTTTCGCATAACGTAAGAAGTCTATCACCGTTGTCAGAACGACTCTCATCAAGCGTGTGACTACCACCAAGATGAGGTTCGCACGGAAGCAGGCGACCTAATCGTGCATTGAGATCTTCGGCATGGACAATGACATCTGACTTTTCGGCCCTGTACAAAATATTATGGATACCACGTTAAAATCCATCCTTAACCAATGCACAGCTGCAGTCAGTTGGAGCGTAGGCATAAATGACAAACAAATTGCCCCTCTCTTCAAGATGTCTGTTGATTCTACATGAGCCTTAAAGCCGAACCGCACACAGCCGGTTGTCGAATGGAAACCAGTCGAGTAATGCAGCCTCAGCTCTTTCACTCAATTCGATACTGACACCAGGTGAGCCGGCTGCTGCTGCCTCCATTTCACTAGACAGAAGTAGGTAATTTGTGGTTTCAAGAGCAGCTGGGGACGACAAACTAACCACGTTACTGAGGTCCTGTAATCGAGTCTCTGAAAAGCAACAAACATCGATAACGAGGGACTAGAGTGCGCGCCAGGCCAACCCCGTTGTCCAATCTGTAAGAGGGTCCGAACATCGAACGCTGACAGACGGCATGAAGTACGAGGTCAAAGGATAGCTGATGACCGGATGATCTGGATATCAACGAGACAAGCATTGGAATTAGTTTCAACAGGTTGTAGAATATCAACAAACGAAAACTTAGCGTGTGCTGTGTAAGCACAATTAGCAGCGAACCTAGTGGCAGAAGTAAGCGACGTAGTAGTAATTCCGAAATCCATGATTTTCATGGAGGGCGTGATACTCCCCGCTTGCCCAAGCCGGAGTAGGGAGTTTTCGTAGGGGACTCCATCCCCAGTCTTTGGTTCAATAGCCTACTCGCAAGGCAGCAATCGAAGTCAGGGACTCGCACTCATTTGGAGTCGATAACTGATTGCTCCGTTCATACGACTTTCGCTTGATTAGTAGGCAAACAGGGGGCTAATTCTGCTCACAAATTCAGCACCAAGGTGCTGGGATGCAACGCTTCACCATGGTGAAACAAAGGGCAATGACTTTATTTACTGACGAGTCACATCCGCCATGTCGCAGTGTCGGACACGTGCGACTTTATAGGGAGAATGCTTGGCAGGCGAAACCTCACCGCGTCATGGAACACTGCAGCCGGACCATTAGCTGGGCCGAGATACTCCCGGACCACCTAACTGGCACCAAGAGGAGGCTGTTGGGCGGATCCGCTTCCACCATCCGCACGCTCCAGCTGCTAGTCGATAACTGGGACTGGTGGCAACTGAAGGCGGAACAACCCCTAACGTGTCTGGTCGCTCTTCGCTGCAAAGTCTTGTAGGCGGTGATACGTTTATTCTACTAGGAATCCCAGGCTGAAGGTAGGCGTTATTTATCTGCTTGTATTTGGATGGAACAATGAACAATGATTTATAACGGGCAAAAAAGCAGGTGCTTGACATGTCCCGTGCCTTAAGCTGACGTTGATGTTGCAGTTATGATGCTTCTTCAACGCAGTTGAGCTAAACTAACGTACACTAAATCTAGGTCCTTTTAATCTGGCTAAAAGTCATTTCAAATTATTTGGTTTGTTTATTTATGTTCCCCAGCCGCATGTTCTGTGTCAGTTTTTCGTTTTTGCTTTCCATGAAATTCTGTTGTTTGTTTGATATTACCGGTATGGCTGCGACTGATGTGAGTGTTGACAAGATGCCTACTTGTCTGACAACCTCCATCTTGATTACTGGCTCCAGGAGACTGTAAATGGTTGCTGGGGGAGTGCACGGTCCTTGTGGCACTGCTAGGCTCAACAAGTGGTTCCATCCAGTGCGGAGCGGACTATGGCCCAGTCACCATCTTGTGTACGTCTGGTACGCATGATTCCCTACATAGATAGACAGCAATGCTGTTGCTGTGCGTGTTGGAGGAGTGTGGACCGGTTCCGTTGATGATACATGGCTCCAATCCACATGTCTCCCGGTCTTCTTCCTTCAGCTTTACACTAGATATGAGGCGTGTGGATGGAGCTGTGGACGGTGCAGCGCAAACTACCCATTGTCCCTCTGTAGACGCAGGCGTCATGTGGCTGTCTCCGTGGAGGCCACAGTGACAGTGAGATCCGGAACCGGATAATGCTAACCATGTAGTTGGATGGATCACGAACATTGATTACCTCTCACAGTAGCCTGGCTTGTTAGTTCCTGTTCACAGACACTTCCTCGGAATGCTTCGAGCGACTGAGATCGTCGTGAAGTTACATTCTACAGTCTTGGAGAACCACTTAAAGTACCCTGTGTCCGGGGGTACATATATCGTTCGGATGGCATGTCTTGACCACCTTGCGTTTATATGCAGAACAATGGTGCAGTGACCGAAGAAACCATCCGTAAGCGCTGTCCAGGTATCACAGTTGGGGTTCGTGATCTCCCCGTTCTTAAGTTGCTCACTATCTCCTAACACCAATGACAGCAGAAAATTATAACCGAGAACACGCTGCTTCGGGCGCGAAACATAGCGCTTCTCAACTCGCATGTTTACATCCACTATAAATCTGAGGTAATATGACTGGAAGGTAGACCAGAATATGACTCCTTTTCAGGGTTGACCCAGGCTGGATCAACTTTACCTTATCCATGAATAATCGAATCCAGGTAAAGATGATAATGGTAGGGGAATGCCGATGGGCCTTATCGTAGGAACCTGATGAGGGGAATAGCCCGCAGTGGCGAACATCAGCAACCATGTTCATCAGCTATGATCACCGAAGTCCCACCAATCTGCGGGCTCTCCCATTTAGTTTGCGTAGGGCACTTAACTCTTGTATCCATATTTTGCAAACAGCTCTGCGTTTCCCGAGCGCTCCTTTTTTGTTGGGGCGTCGGTATGCTGTGCTGTTGGCCTGTTATCCTCTGGCTTCCTTGGTACTTGTATACTACTGACAAAAGGCGCAGTTCTTTTTTGCCTTCCCAAACCGTGAAGTTGTGATTTTTAATATCGCGTGTACTGGGAGCAAGGAAATCCTAATGCAATAGTCATTTAAAGCTTACGGTCTATGAAAGGACGCAAGAAAGCTGTTTGACTACAGAAAACAGACATCGGTCAAAGGCGTCATCGTCTTACTCAACTTACAGAGTGCGACCATACCTAGGCAATAGTTTTCCAAAAGCAGTATTTTGTCCGAAACTGGTCCAACCAAGGACACATAGTTTGGAGTGTAAATATTTCGAAAAAAAGCTTTCCGGTGTTAGATGATTTAACGATCACTGCGTAGAACAGCGGAGAAGTCTGTGTCACCGCCGTATACCTAGGCGTAACTTGAACAGACATCAACTCGAAGTGAGACACGCCAGATCAATGTCAGTTTCCGAATTCGTCTTTCAATGTCACTATAAGCAGTCACAATACACTTATCAAATGCCATCCACAGACCCCATGTAAACCTGAAGAAATGGCAATGCTAGGCTTGAGAATGGAAGTCACAGTATACTCGATGTAGTATCCGACTCCTCCAACTCGAAGATCTGACATGTACAGTCTTTTGAACAGCGTCTCAGCTCCACTGCAACTACAGTTCCGTGTTGAGAAGAGTGCATCATGAGGACCTAAATCCTGGCTGGTCGGGTGGTCAGGCTCACACAAATCAGACGCTGTGTAACTACTTTTCATCCTGTTGTACGTAACAATAAGACGTTGTCTACTCTGAGTGAACAAATCTATGAATCTAGGTCTGTTAATTTTGGGTCCGAAGACAAGAGTATTAATTTCACCAGAATGTGTTCAAAGGTGCATGTGCCATTCACCCAGCACATGACATTCGCTATTTGTGACCTCAGTGCAACGATTCTTTACAACATCATATGATCTTTAAAATCAGTCACACGATTGCGGATTTTGCGCGCAACAACCTACGCATACCACATCAATTGAAGCCTGACGACTAATTTCTCAGCAGTGCCTGAAATGTTGACTGTCTGAGTGAAAGAATGTGACTAAAGGAAGAGTCTACTGTACACTTCAAGGTCACCATCTATTTTTCCAATCTGTGGGAAGCTTGCACTGTGCTTCTCCCAGGAGGCTGACGACCATTACGCGCACATCCATAGGTGCCTACGCCCAGATCGCCTCATCGCAAAGTTACCCAAAGACTAGCTGGGCTATCCCATGGTGATTGCACAATACCAACGATCCGTTTCGTCTGTGCATGTGTGTATGTGCTTATGCTGCCATCATGTGATTTCATGGTCAACCCGAATCATGATCATCATTCACTCGATCAAGACGCCGAAATGTAGAAAACAGAATGTGATTCGCCCGCGTCAGCACCGCAGAAGCAGCACAGACAGGCAGGCCAGTGCGTAGTCTCAGACCGGACGTTCACATCCCCTATCGCAGCGTGTGCAGCACAAACACACACACTCACAAGGGCGTGGACACGGTGAATATATCCCCCAGTCGTCCAGGCCATGCCCGACGCCACCGCTAAATCGGAACACCACACTGTGACAGTTGTCCGGTTTCACGACCGATACCCCTCATCCAATTACGGTGAGTGAGAGGCCATGGTCTATGTTACATTTTATTACATTTTGTTATCGCACCTTATTTTATAATATGCGTCTGCCTTTCTCTTTGGGTGAGTATATCGTCTATATATTTTTTCAGTTGTTTGCACCCACAGTGTTTTTAAATTCCTCTCTAAAGGAATCATGTTCCGACAGAGATCTCTCAAGGTAAACCTTAAGGTCATCTAATTGCATCCAACGGGCGCGAACGCTCCAAGAAATTGCTTACTATGTATAGTGTGACCAAACCTAAATCATCCAATATCTGGCCACTTTCAACTGATTGAGAATTGGTCACTCATTGAACAGTACGCAATTTTTAGGGGTGTTGGCGTCCGTTGGATGTAGTTTGATAGCGTTAAAGACTGCGTTGAGAAATCTTTGGTGGAACGTGATTTCCTTAAGGAAGAATTGCATAGCGCTACTATTGCAACTGTACGATGGTTTTATATACCCCTCAGGTAGAGATAACGGAACTGCAACTGGAACTCAGGACATGTGGAATTCTGGGTGAAGTCTATACCCCTATAGCAGGAATCACCCAAGTTTCTCACGGCGGTTTGAATGACTAGAAATAATGACTAACACGGGCGGGATAAGTGACGAATTAGTTAACGTGGGTCGCATAATCATTGTGTGCAATAGTCGCAAGCCAGAACGAAAGTTCTGAGAACAAAGACAAAGGAAAGGTAACTTAGTGCACGCTTTCCTTTGTTCAGTAGCCTTAGTGAAAAGCTGAAATAAAGGAGAGCTGAACAGAGTAAACATAATGATAACAATAATGTGCTAGCTATACGCCGTAGCGGCGCTTCGCTGCCACGCGAACAGCACCAGTCGCGCGTGCGCTAGGTATACCGCGAGGACGCCCGCCCCTTCGCGGATTCGAACCGGTGAGCTTATGATTGCAACCCCGACGGCCATACCACTCAGCCACCGGCCTTAGGCTATGGTCTGGTCATTCTAGTCTCTTGAGCAGGAGCTTGAGTAGCTATATTACTGTTGCTGTGCCTCATGAATCCTTTGATTTTACCAACCGCGATCAAACACACGGCCAGTGCTTCCAAACCCAAATTGAGCTAATGATTATAGTCATAAACATTGCATGTGGAACCTGGTAGTTCGTTAGTACACATATTTCTCAAAGATCTAAATGTGTTGGGTTTCGTAAGCAGTTCCTGTTAATTAGAGGGTCCAGCAGGTAAGGAATCGGTCTTTCGGCTGTGTAGTCACGGACAGGCAATGAAAAAGCTTCAGCTGCTTATGATTTTCTTTGCATCTGCCTAAAAAATATATCTTTGCTTCTATTTTGCAAAAATGAGGTGGAAACAACTTGACCAACGGTTCAATGAGCATCACTGCGCTTCACATGCCTACATTTGCCACATAACCTTCATACAAAACTGTCCTTTTATACTATCGCGGTACAGTTGCGTGTGATCTTGATAAAGCTCAAACTACTATTCGGTTGTATTCATCGAACCCATTTATTTAAAAGCCATAACAGGAAGATTACCTGTCTAGGTTTTCTAAGAAGTGAAGTAGGTACTTGTAGTTTATTTGCAGTGCTCATACGTAAAATGTTGGACAAGTTTTCGCGCCATCTAGCAGGGTACGTACTTAAGTGGCTTCCGCTATGCAGGCGGATGAAGTCAAGGAAGGAATTCTTAAAGCCCTTAGCCTGTGTGTATCGGTTGGCCAATACTAACCATGTCCCCGTTGAAATACTCGATAACTGCTTGGATTAGTTCATTTCTTTGCCACATGCACATATACACGCAAGGAGCTAGCTATCGTACACAGACGAGTTGATGCACCTAACACGCGGCCCATAAGAAAGACATCGGCTCTCTCTTATTCCTTCCTGTGTCAACGACTAGTTCCTGTGGTGCTCGGCAGGCCAGAGTTCAAGGCTACCAGCAATAAGTCAGTGCTAGCCAGCTTGACACCCTAAGTCGGGAAGAACAACCCTTATCCATTCATTAAAGAGAGAAGTAATCTAACATCTTTTTTTTGTATGAGGGTAGCATGTACCAGTATGCCTCAAAAGAATAAGCTGATATCAGCAATTTTATTCTTAGCTGCGAGCCGGATCCACTTCATTTACTACAACCTTCATGCGCATTTTCGTTGATTTGTCAAACATCTGGCTGCAATTGTCAAGAGATAACGCGTGTTGGCGGCATTGGGGTGCAGTCCGTTCTTGTCATCGTTTTCCCTACCTTTTCGCGGAGTCCCTGGTTCTTAAAACTACCTTACCTGTCAAGATGAAAACAATAGTTGAATTTAAAACCGACGGTCCCTAGTGAGAGTTCCAGCAAACGATTGAACACAAATGTAGAGTTGTTTACGGTCTTGCGTGAATCAAAAATACCATTCCGCCGTCAGTGGCGTCGACCTAATTGGGATTTGTAGCTTCAGAATAGGAAACGTTTTGGATAGAACCGCTTTTAGGAAGGACAGTTCATGTTATCCAGCTTCAATTTGTTATTCTCTATAACACTTAATTCAACCGAAACATACACATATCGTTACCAACATCTTCACCCGGTTAAACATGTGAATTTCTCTGCGAACAATGGTCACAAGTCGAAACGGTCAAAAGTGTTTTCCGAGCATGTGGAGGACCGTCTGACTTGAAAGCTACTGCAAAACATCCGAAATATTACAGCAAAATTCCCATACTCATGAGTGAATAATAAGTACGTTTTTAATATTTGATTAAACATGCACACAAATGACTTTTGAATTACATGCTTACATAAAATTGTAATTCATCCGTTGTAGCAAGTGTTATCTTAGTCCTGATGGCCATTTTGCGCTGATAAGTCCTCTAAATCTTCAAATAGCTAAGTTGAGAACTATCAATAAAAATCCCTGTTTACACCACTCACTTAACTTCAGTACCGCCATCGGACTATGGCGGTCCAATAATTCTTGTGGTGACTCAGGGTCCAGCACTGATCGTTACATGTTTGGTACGAGTAAGGTACTTGTAGATGAGTACACGCTTTGTATTACAGTCGGCTAGTTACTCGTGGTGACCACCGCTTACCCCCTGACCCAGTGGTCTCCATCGCGGTTACAGATGCGTAATGCTGATGAAGGATGAAACTGCCATGCAGTGCTTTTCTGGGTGTCCGTTGTCTGTTGGATCGAGTTTATCTGCGATTTATGTCTCAGTGGCTTAAGAATACCCGTCACAACTAACATCTTGACGGTCACAGGTTTGATGCCTCCTATCTGATGAGATCGACTAAGTTCGAGACCCGTCATGGACTGCAGTATTTTCGGGCGGGTAACACCCAATTTCCATCTGATTCAGCTATGGTCCTAATGATCGAATGACCAAGGTTTACTTCAATGTGAATCGCGACCTACAATTCCATTGCGAGTCGCAATCCATTCACACAACGTGTACTTAAACTGACCCTCGAATCAGTCATTAACGGTTGTGCGAAGCCTCGACCTTCGAAACGCATCACAAATGCAGTGTTTTTGAACGAGCAGCAGACAATTTCCATCTGACATTTGAAATAATTATGGATCCAGTAAATCAGTATGGTGTGGAAGTAGTTTATTAGGTACAAACTAGCGAAAATATACTACCACATTCGTGACGAATTAAAAATAACAACGAATTCAGTCTGTGTCATGCAACTTCTTTCGAACTGAGGTGGCTACCCTCCTGCAGCATCCGTGACGTGATTTCACCATATGGTTAGTGGACGCTGAAAGTAACACCGTTTAGAAATGGTTCACTGGTGTATGAGGGGATAAAAAGCATAACTTTACAAGACCCACAGGATGGATATGCAAAAGAAAATTAAAAGCAAAATGTTCCAACGTGGAACGTAAAGTATCAGTGGTTAAATCATTGCACTTTAGCAAAGTGTTGTGTATTGTTTATCACTAAGATGAAAAGCTTGGAGTCTTTCGAATGTCGTCATGTCTGGTGAGTTCACCATATAGTTTGGTAATGCATTCCAGTGAGAACAGATTCTAAGTGAGAAAGAATGCTTTCTACAATTCAAACGAGAGTGTTGTGTCCTAAGTTTCAGGCGGTTGCCTCGGTTTTGTTTGCATGGCGCTAGAGTCAACAGCGATGTACATGGATGCTCGATTTCGGTTAGTATCCGGTATGTGAGACTAAGATCTCCGCGAAGCCGTCGGTATTCTAATGCGAACACACTGAGTACACGAAGACGCATTTCGTAACTTATACCGGATAGTCCACGCGTTGCTTTTGTGGCTCTTCTTTGGGGCTGTTCCAAAAGGCAGATGTCTAGTTTTAACCATGGACACCAGGCCTGAATTGCATATTCAACATGAGGACGAATATAGGAGTTAATCAACAATGGTACTAGCCGCCGCTCAAAAGTCCCGAGAGCTCGCCTCAAAAGTCTCAATTTTAAGTTCGCCACACTTGCTGCTTTCGAACATTGGAGCGAATTTCCAAGACTCTCTTGCATGATTATACCTAAGTCGCGTTCACTAGTCACATGTTGCATGACGTGTTACAAGTGACTAGTGGACGTACTAGTGAAAGTACCTACAGTGATCATCTGAATACCTTACCCAGCTGTGACCGATGTTGCTTCATTTTTTCCGGTTAGGTAAGGATGCTTCGAACTGAAGAATGAATATATTCGTCATAATTTGTAACCAGTGTTAGCGGACTAAAAATACTAATGGAGCCATTAACGATTGCAGCGGTAACCCAGTTGGAGGTGAACAATGAACAGTGAACGATGATATATTACAGGTAAAAAAGCGATTGCTTTACAAGTCCCG